CTGATCAGAGCCCAGTGTTTATAATCTGCACGTGTAGCCATGAATCACATGCTGAATTGAGCTCTCTGTAATACATATAAACTGAAGGAAAAACCCAGAGATTGGAGGATTCTAGGTATGCCCTATAAACATTTGCAAACTACTTCCTCTGTGTCAGAGAGTGAGGGAAATGTTCTCAGCTGTGACCTGTGGTACTGTTGTAGCCTCTGTCATATATATGTGTCCTCATAAATTTGCTGTATCAAAGCAGGAAGCTGGCTTTTAATAAAAACTGAGTATCCAGGGCTAAGGTGATTTGCTTCTGTGGAGTATTTTGCTTTGCTTTGTTTAATAAGAATAAAATTCAGAAATATTTCTCTTCTTTTGAAGTATTTTTAAAGTGTAATTCATGCTATTTTTGGCTTTCCTTTTGTACTCTTTTGTGCTGGGTTTATGACAACTGATCCTATGACTGCAAATGCAACTAAAAAGCTAGTAACAGGCCATTAGATATATTGTGCAACATAACAAAGCATCTCCTGCAATGCCATTAACAGGGAAAAAAGCCTGTTCGCATGGAGACAGACACCCAGCTGAAGAGCTGGACCTTGCAGCAGGAAAGCACCTTGGCTTGGAAGCTGGAGAAGGACGAGGTGATGCAGCACGTTGCAGTTCTGCATGAGGTCAGCTAAACAGTGAGTTAATACAAATTGATGACAGTGGAGTGTACTCACGCTACTCAGGCCAATCCTTAAATGGAGCATTCGTAATGTGATTGGATCCACCGTGTACGTGGAAAATTGCCCGCTCACTGCTTGTCACCAAAGCAGGCTGCAAACCAGTGAACAATGATTTTTGAACTTGGGAGCTGTGATATCCTTGGGTGCATCAGCCTTGGTCTGCTCAAGAACCTTGATGCTTGTTGAGGCATCGCACCGATGTATGCTGCCTTAGGCACAGCATAGAGACACAAAGCAGGGGTCCTCTCCCCTGTGGCATCAGCCATTCACCTCTGCACGCTATATGCAATCACTCTCCAGCAGTTCAGAAGCCATGCAGGGAGGAGGCACATCTCATGCCCCTGCACTGGATTCATACGTGATGGAGGTGGGCTTGTAACACATGTATGTGTAATTCTCTAAGAGGAAGTCAGGATCTGCAGATGAATGCAGATTACAGCAAGATGTGTCTGCACAATACATTTTCTTCAATAACTTCACATACAGACTAATGTGAAGAGGATTGAGGCATTCCTTGTATGACACAAATTCACCCATTTGTGCAGCTGTATCTGAATGCCACCCCTGGCAGGCTGCAGAAATGTAAGGTGTTAAAAACATTTCAAAGCTTATTCCATATATGACTTTAATACTGTCTTTCAGCTGCCTTTCAGGAGTCTTCCAGTGATACACCATGTTGTTTCTTCGCCTGCTGGGCTTGGTTCTGTCCCACAGAATGAAGCAGGCAGTTAGAGCTAGCTGAAGAGCTGCTCCCTGTCTCACCTGCTGCTTTGCCACAAGCACTTTGCTGTCTTTTGCTGAATTTTAGTGTCAAAGAGAGAGTGAAATTGTTACAATGCCTTACCACTTTGTGCCGTTATCACAAACTGGGAGAAGAAGTAAGTGTACTCTGAGATTACAGGACTTTCATCTTTAGATATCCTGGGCAAGCACTCTGTTCGTTCTTCTCTCGGGCTTAAAACCCCTCCAATTGCAAGACAGTGAATAAACCCCAGCTCACTGTAACTGGCTCTCTTATAGAGTTTGCTTGCTAAAATTTGATTGCAGGATCAGTGTTTAATGGGAAAGTACAAAAACCTCAGAGTTTCAAAGATATTAAGTATTCAGTGCTGCTACAGGTTCAGCACAGATGATGCAGATAGAAAACTCTGCTACCTGGAGCCTGCTTGTGCAGTTTACACAGCTATATGGAGAGGGGAGAGCACAGAGCAGTGTCAGTGGATGTCTCTTGCTCTCCGTGCACACTCAGCAGCCTGACGAATGTGAGCTCTTGCTTCTTCTTGCATACAGTGGATCTGCCAAGGGTGGCATTCACTGGTATGTATGGACGATGGCAGGCAGACTCAGATAAGCCTCTAAATCTATTTCTGCAGCTTGAATTATTACAAGGAAGGAAAAGGAGGAAGCCCAAAGCAAAGTATCCTGCACAAAGATCATAACTTGAGATCAAGCTGAGATAACTGAGGTAACTGCTGTGAGATAATGTCAGTGATAGGTTGTCAGTTATATTTAATCATGTGCCAGATTATGTGGGTGGAGGGAGTGAAATTCAGGCAATCCATAGCTCCTAAAGCACCTATGGATTACTGCCCTTTCTATGTGCTAGGTCTTGCCTTGCCGTTCTTCTTCGTCTTTCTTAAACTGAAAAAGCAACTTTTCATCCTAGAGTGCACCTGAGGAGACCAGCATCCCACTTTTGCCAACCCTAAAATTAATTTGAAATACAACTATGTGTACAGCCTATGCCATTAGAACTGGAAGTGGAAGAAGTTGCAGCATCTTGTTTTATGCTACTTCAGGAGATACCAGTTATACCTTGTGTCTGAATGGCCCTGAGGAAACATCAGACTGAGAATTGATGCTGACAATGTCAATGTCAGCACGGGGATGTGAATTTTTGGTTTGTGAAAGTTAGAAGTATGTCAGTAAAAATACAGAAAATCGAAGGAATCATGTTCTATCATGCATCAGTCCTTGGAGCAGAAGAGCAGGGACTGTGGGAAAATGCCTTATCATGGCTATGAAAAAGGTTCAAACATGCTGGAGTTCATCCTGTTCCTCTTAAAGAACGTTTTTATCAGTAACACTTGGAGCTTGCTGTCACCCTGCCACAAGGCTTCTAGATGGAGATTTATTACTGTCCTCTGCAACTGTTGTTCTCTGAATGGCCCTAGACTGAATCTGCCATTAAGAAAACCTCTTTCTCAAAAGGTTTGGAATATTGCAGACATTCTGCCTCTCTTCTAATAGCAGTACCAGCGGGTCATTGATCTCTTAAAGGAATCAAGCAAGCCATTTGAGGTGCATCAGTGCAGCTATTAATGGAATATGCTGAGACCCGTATAAGTCAATGGATGAGATGCTGGATGAGGGTTCAAGCTAGATGGTTTCTCTTCCTGCTGCTGCTTGATCTCTGGGCAGGTGGCTGCAGCAATGTGCCTCAGTTTCCCTTCTATGGAATGGGGATAATGAAGCTTGCTTCCTTATAAAGCCCTGTAAGGACTGTCAGTAATAATTTTATAACAGAGGAGCTGTGATAGTGAGACAGATCAAAGCTGAAAGCGATTTGAAAGATAAACAGTTATATTTACTATTTAAGTGCAGTGAATTATGAGGCTGCCCAGATTGGAAAACCAGCCCTGGTGGAGGTCTGTTAGATGAGCTGGTAAGGGGATATTGCTCAAGCTAGCTCTGAGAAGTGACAAGATAGAAACGAAAGGCTTGCTTTCAAACAGGATCCCGTCCAAGTATGACAAAAAATCAATTAGGCTGATTCGCAAAAGTTGAGGTTTCTTGAAAACTGCTTAGCCTTTAACTCAGCATAATGTATCCTGTGAAACTTCTGCCTCAGGAAAAGGTTTGCATAAGAAGGCTGGGGCGAGAGCCGGTTTCATGCGTGTTAATGACTGTGTTGTTTCCTCTGCATTCAGGGGAGAAAGTGGAAATGATCATGGTTGGGGGAAAAAAGCAACAAAAACTTGTTACATCCATTCCTTATCTCACTTCCGTCTGCTCGGGCATTAATTATCACCGCTAATCCAATAAAGCCCATAAAGGATTTCTAAATAAGCCTTTCGAGATCCTGTAATAAATCCCTTCCTAGAGCAGTAAACTGAGCAAAGCGTTGATCAGTCAGTAATCAATAGCAAGCAAACACTAGTTGTGGACTTTGGAAAAGCAAAGGTTCGTTGTGTTTCTGTTTACCTGTCCCCCATGGGGGAAGCCTCTGGGGAGAGAATACCTACAGCATACAGACTGAAGAAGAGGGGAGGTATTTGAACCATCAGGTAAGAACCTGGAAAAGGCAAGCTACAGTGTCGTGGGTATGGCAAGTTAATTAAAACCAGAGAAATAGAACATGGAAGGGACCCCCCACCCCTGCTTCCCCAGGGCTGAGGCTGTGCTCCTTAAGGCACTTTCTGAGCACCTCAGACCGCTGTTACTTTAAGTCTGACAACTGAATCTTGATCTGCTTTAAAACTGTGTCTCTTTAATAGGCTCTTGGTGCAGTGCTTCCCTCTGATACCACTGATAATATTGTATCTCTTTTTTTTCCTTAATGCAGTCTAGTCTATTTTAGTGCAAACAATAGATCCTTCATTACCTTTAGGAACTGCAGTGTTTATCTTTAATTTTGAGGCTGTGTGCTGATATTTACATAGGGAAGGGGGTTTAGTCTATGTTATAGCATTGCTGATCAAATAGAAGCATAAAAATACCCTCTGCATTTTTCAATACTAATTATAGACCGTTATTTAATCCAGGCATCGTAAGTGCATAGTGTACTTATGTACATAGTGCACAGGCTGCAAAAATAGATGGATGTGCTGAGCTAATGCAGCAGCAAAGACATATTGTTCTTTTTCTCTCAGTGGGCAACCGTAAGATTTTCATCTTCTATCATAAACAGCAAAGCAATATGAGTAGAAAACTAAACCAAGCTACTTGAAGGTGTAAGAGGTTCATAGAAGTTTGATTTTTTAAATGTACAGATGTAGTTCACTATAGAGATCAAGTCAAACCTCATTGATTTTTCTTAGAGGAGGAAGGCAACTAGACTCTCTAAAGGTGAAAAATCCCAAACCCACTCGTTCATTCATGAGAAATCTGTGCTTGATATTTTAGCACAAATAATAAAAGGCAGAGAAATAAATGAAACAATCTTCCTTCGACATATAGAAGAATTAGAGAGTCTGTACGCTGTGTACTGATACTCAGAAACAAATCATAAATAAGAGTAACCTTGGTACATGGGGTTAGAAAGAGCAGACAAGGACTTACCTACTGCTTCTGTCTTGAGAAGGTGCAGGGAGAACAGAACAAGGAACAGCAATTCCATTATCTATTTTAAATAGGCTCAGTGTTGAAACCAGAATTGATTAGACTTCTTAGTATGTGATCATATTTCTGCTCTCAGTTTTATACTGGAGTAAGGAGTCCTGGACAGACCTGAAAGCCATAGCCAGGAAGGTGAACTCCTCCCCTTTGTAATTTCTCCAGATTTACCCTGCTCCTGATTTGCTTAAATGTATTCATTTCTACAAAACTAGTGGCAAAAGGAATAAGGTTTTCTAGCACTAAGCAAGTAGCCCGGAGTGAATACCTGATACTCTGCAACCTAGGCACCTTTAGGAACTTCAAATGCTACATTTTTATGTACTGCCAGCTTTTTTCCTGCCAGCCCACAGGACATTTGATTAATGCGTGCTTTAAGGTTACTGTTTAGCTCCAAAAAACTCCAATGAAACAAACAAAACCCCAGCTCCCTCGCCCCCACTCCCTACCCCACCACCCTCCAAACAGCAGCTCAGCGATGGAGGAGATTGGAGACTGGAAAAGGGGACTGCTGTGTGCAGTAACAGGGAATGTTTCTTAGGTGACAAACCAGCACCTTCCTCATATATGCTTTTGCCCTTTGTGAATTACCAGAAAGGACACCTTTTTCTGCTGTTTGCTTGGTTGGTTTGGCTTCTTTTCTCTTTATTTTTTAATGATACTTTTTCTTAACTTTCCTGCTTCTGATATTATAGTATCATATACAGACGTATCTGATATACATCTGTATATCAGATAAAGTAGATATAAATTTTTATAGTTATACATATTATATCTGGTATACAATTTTTTTTCCTGTCACCTTTGCTTTCCTATCTGAATATTTTAATTCCATGTGTATGATTCAGTGGCAATTCAGGCTTCATGTTCCACAAACAAAGGTGTGTACAGGAAAGTGACACTACCGCTTCTTGCTCGTGGTCATAGACACATTTTCATCTTTCCATTTGGGGCTGGGTTTTGACACAGCTGAGGAAAGCAAAGGAGGGAGTGCAGCTTCTTCTTCCCTTTCCCCATGTGCCTCTCCATCCATGGGGGTGCAACCCACGTGCTTGGGTGGGTGCAAGAAGAGGAGGATGCTTGACCCAGTGCTCCCGCATGATGGGCTGGACAGAGTGAAGCAGCATTATGCTGGCTGCATTGAGCCTGCTAAGTCATCCAGCGAGGGCTGAGTTAGGAAAAAGAGCCAAGAAAGTGTTTCTTGCCTTTAGGAAGAGCCATGGGCTCCCAGGTGAGGAGTATGGCCATTCTGCTGCTAGTAGTAGGGTCGCACAGGACCGGGACCTGTAATAACAATGGGAAATCTGACAGCTGACTTATGAGCAGGTCTTTTATTCATAAAAAGGATGGCTATAAATAACATTCCAACAATGAAGATTTGCTGGGTAGTGTTTTTCCATCCTGGATTAGGTAGATTAAAGCATGAACAGAAGATGATTTGCCTAGCACATGGTGCTAAGATAAACAGTTGCTGCAGTGACAAGAACAATAAGGGAATTCGTTGCACTTTTTCACTTCCTAGTCTGGCAGCCTCGGTGGGGTTATCTAAGCAAGGTGCATGCTGAGCACGTACAGAGGGACGGGGGCATGAACGGGGCCATGGCAGGTGGTGTCAGCCTTCAGGGACATCAGCCAGACATTTTGCTCTTGGGCTTTTCAGCAGGGGAGCTGAACCAAAGCCGAACACCAAACGGGTTGGTTCTCTGCAAGACAAAAGCTTGCTAGAAACCTGCAGTTTAGGACTGAAAAATCTGAGCGTTACAAGTTTGATCTTGAAATTGAGCATTCTCGGTTTGGGGCCGGGGGTTCTTGTTTGGGTTTTTGGCTTGGTTTTGGGGATTTCTTAACTTTTGCAGACCTTCCAGCCTGGCATTATTAAAGCAGTAACCAACTGCCCTGCAGTCATATTAAGTAAGTCTTTATTTGTGTTAGGAAGTGAAGGCAGACTCAGGGAAAGACATTCCCTTCCCTTATAAAGCCTGTTATCTAAATAAGCAGGGCGCAGACATCATCTGATCTCCATTATTTCTTCTAAAGAAACTTACCTGACAGGTGCTTGGTTATCATCAGTTCTCAATGACGTCTTTGCACCTAGGGACACTTTTGTAAGGAAACGCACTCTGGGTGGATTTACATAAAGGACTTTTGACACTGAACTTAAATACATATGAACATCTTGGTCAGAGAAGATAAGAGGCAAAGCTATGCAGGGAGTCTGTTGCAGGTCATTGAACCCAAAGCTACTTTTTGTCTGGCGTAACGACGGCAGTTGTGTTCATAGCTACAGGATAGGTAAGAACAGGAGAGAATGTCAAACCCAGTGAAAACTGCACTTACTTTGGGGCCCTGAGAGCCCAAGCAGCAATGGTTTTGGAGCTGTCCCCTCCAGCTTGGTTCCTGAAATGCGTGAGATCTGACATTAGCCTGCTGCTACCAAAAGAGCTTCACGGGAAGTTCGAAGGGACTGACGTGGTGGCTGATAAAGCTTGCATGTGTTTGAGCCAAATGAGCCTACCATGTGCCGAAGGGAGGAAGTCCAGAGCTGTTCCTAACCTTCCAGCTGGACTGCTGCAGTCCCCCCTGCCCCAGCAGTGCAGGCAGGAGGGGGTGAGAGCAGCCTGGGTCTGACTCCGTGGCACAAATGCATGAGAGTCCCAGGCAAAGTCAAGGCAGTGGCACAGCTCTTTGTGCTGGGAGACCAAGTTGTTGCTCTAAGAAGGAAGATCTGAGGCCTGGGAGGGAGAGTCTGACTTGAGCCTAAATGCTGTCTGTAGATGAGCTGACCTGGGAGGAATTGACCCTGCACTTCCAAGAGACTTGAGACACAGGTTGGTTTCATGATGATTGGGAAACCTGACCTTCAGAGTGAGAGAACACACTAAGTGCTCTTCATTTAGTTATGCATTGTAGTTTTCTTCATTAGAGTTCCCTCACCCCTGAACCAGAAATCTGGAATTTCATAGCTATGAAATACGAAGTCTTCATCTTTCACATGAAAATGTGGGCTGGTCATGATTCTGCTTGAATTGTTCTAATACAAGGTTGCTTCCATGGAATAGTAGCATTTCCAATGGCTCTTTATTTGGCCTTCTGCTCAGCTCTGGTGCATTAGCTGCTCACTATCTAATTTAGGCTGTACCTGAGGATTAAACCCTGTGTTACATGGTGTCATCATTAGTAAAGCTGAATTTCTCTCCTCTTCTCACTTCTTATGTGAAGCAGCATCCTTTATGTGGCTGAACAGCCTTCCTTTGGTGAGCAATGAGACACTAGCAGTGTGCAACTCAACCATTCCCCTGAATTCTGAAGGTGGATTCTGAAGGACGCGTGCCTCTAAGCTGTGTATCCAGCTCTGTATGTTCACAGCCTGCCTGGTTGCTTCGCCTTGTTTTGAAGCACACACGTTTCTGACTGTTGCTTTCTTGTAGCAGCAGTCCTTGCCAAGTGTCTGTAGTTGTTTAGTTCAGAAGGAAGACTCCCTTTATGTTGACCATTACAGGTCTAAAGGGATAAAGTACATTCTGGCTTCTTCACGTGTATATAGAACCATAGAATGGTTTGGGTTGGAAGGGACCTTAAGGTCACCCAGTTCCAACCCCGTGCCACGGGCAGGGACCCCTTCCACTAGAGCAGCTTGCTCCAAGCCCCTGTGTCCAACCTGGCCTTGAGCACTGCCAGGGATGGGGCAGCCACAGCTTCTCTGGGCACCCTGTGCCAGCGCCTCAGCACCCTCACAGGGAAGAGCTTCTTCTTTATACCCAACAATTGTCTTTGGGAGGCTTTCTTTACCATACAAACTTCCTTTCAGTTATTTATCAATGTTTGTCTCCCTTTAGACAGCTTAATACAAGTTCCTCAGAGGTGAAAATAACAGTCCTGGCATCTCAGAGAACCATTCTGGCTCTGCACAGAGGCCCTGGTTTTTTGGGGTGTTCTTGCAACAAGCTGGTGCTTGCATTACTTTGTGGTTTGGGGCTAACATAATCCTTCAAGCCTGGGGGCTGTCTTTGCTTTATGTACCTGGTGAGGGCTGTGAAAGCATAGCTGGGATGTCAGATAACTCCAGACCTGTGAGTTCCTCAAAGAGACTGAGCGGAGGAGGAGTCAGAGCTCTCTGTTTTGAATACGTGTCAGAAGAACCTTGGAAGGACATCATACATTCCATTTGTGTCTCCCTCTCCAAAGAGGAAGACTTTAATCTGCATAAATTAAAACATAAATTGCATAAATAGGCTCCTTATTTGTATGATTCCCTTTCCTGGAGTCTTTCCTTGCAAGCCTTGTAATGCCCGTTGAAAGATGGAGCAAACGGATATTCTTGTCTCGGGGCTTTGATGAAGGTTATGGCAAGCAGGAATTACTCTTCCTCAGTACTTAGCCAAGCTACATGTCCCTTGCCCCTTTCTGGCTCAGGTTGGGTATGATCTGCAGCTGGGTAGAGTGTATACCTGGAGAGCAGGGACAGCTAAGGGGTGAGCTGAACCACTGCATTGCACAACAAAGTGGCTGGTGTTCCAAGAATGGGAGTTGGAGTTGGACGTGAGTTCGAGGGAGAGTGCGACAGGAAAGAAACCAGAACAGTAAAATCCCTGATCTTTTCAGTGCCTTGTTTTTCTTGCCTATACAGTGTATGTTCGTGGCTTTGGAAGTAACACCGTGTCATCTGTAGCTTAGCTGTGCTGTGGAGCTGTTATTTTAATCGCATAGATGCAGCTTTTGTCCAGCAGTTTCAGGTGTAACTCCTGCTTCTTGTTGTATTATCAGCATAAAAGACAGAGAAAATTGCCCCTACATCATGCTAAGGTAGGAGTGCATGTTGTCCAAGGGTTACTGCACAGGACTAAGACTCGCAGCCCCTGAACTTCATTTCCTGCTTTGAAACCAACTTTGGCTGGGGCCTGTTGTTCTGATTGCTGCTGAGCACTTGTGATCCTTCACGAAGGCTGAGAGCTGCAGGTTATGGCTCCTTCTGAAACGGCAAGCTCAGCTGGGTGAGGTTGGATTGTCCACAACAGCCACTGGAATGAATGGTCATTAAAAACGCAACCTGAGGCCTCTCCTGTCTCTTTCTCAGTCCTTTCAGCATGTTCAGTGGTTATTGTTTTCTCCAGAGGCACAATCATCAGATAAGTATTATTGAACTTGGAGATTCAATGCAAAACAATGCCATTTCTTCTGCATGACAAATAACGAAGCACTAGCAATCTGTACGTTCAGATAAAGAAATATAGAACAATTATAGAACTACAGAATGCTGCACGAATGGAAATCTCAACCAACTGCAAGGTCCAGCCAGCGTCTGAAGTGTTAGCCTGAGATAGAGGAGATTAGATTCAGTTCCCTCCGTGCAGGACTTCG